GATTTTCTTCATCACCCCAATCTCCTCAATCGCTCCAATCTCCTCAGTCACTCCGATCTCCGGCGCCCCGATCAGCGTGCGGATAATTTTTCCCTCGAGGCTCGCTTCCCCTGTTTTTCGCCCGTATTTCGATCCCCACTACTATTCTCCTCATGCGCTTTCGCTGACCATGCCTAGCATACCCCCATCAAGTACCAGTCCCCACCATGGTCGCGTCGTCCCCACTTTTCGGTCGAGGGAAAAATTATCCGCACGCTGCGTATACAGTATTCGAAGTACTGTGTTAAGCAATGTTGACGTTGTGAGAGCGAATTCGTCTTATTCTCATCGTATTACTCTAGATTGTAATTGTATTTTCGCATACGATTATACATATATTCGTCCTTCTATTCTTTTGGATCCTTAAGTTATACATATAAGTAAAAGTGCATCAAAAGAAAGTATTTGGAGTTTAGAGTCATCAAATGTAACTTGACATAAAAATAACAGAAAGAAATTCTTTTTTATACCATTTACACCTGTCAAGTGTGCCTTACATATGTATTTGACGAAAATTTGACGTGTTTAACTGTATTCAAAGTGTAATTGTGTAATTACTCTGTCTCCTTGTAGAGACACATTGTTTGACATAAATTTGCATCAATTTACTATTATAATGGTATATTGGTTACCAAAGAAACGCTTTAAGAAGAGGTACCCTATTTCTAATCGTCTTTCTTTCAATATTAGATTTATTATAAAGAATCAGCTTATATAAATAAACACTAACAATTCTATAAGCCGATTTAATTGAAATATTATTATATGTGGTACTTTGTGGACTATTTGCAAAACTTTCAATTTGTACAATCTTAATTTGCTCATAAACTTTAGTCTCCTTCAGATATATTATATGTTAGCAAGTTTTTTTTCTGAGTTTGTCATCATTTTATCAAAAGTTAAACAGTAATAAAAGAAACTTGCCAAATAAAATCATCTGGATTGAATTATCTAAATAAATTGTGACAGTTATGATTCTTTCATTAGAATTATATAACTTAACGATGATCTAACTTGATCTCTGCCTGTAAACAGTTCTTATCAGCACTATGAAATATAATGTTCTACTGTAAAGTTTTATGTATAATTGTAAACATAATTACACTTTTAAGATTATAAAAATATAATTTTAAAACATCAATTTTATTAATCTTTAGTAACAACTGAAAATGTTTCAAGTCAAATATTTGCAAGTGTAATTATACTACAGAGAGACTTACAAGGTGCCTTATATTTAACAGCTACTAACAAATATGCTGAGAACTTTACTGTTAGCAGCAGTGTTACCTTTCACCGTACTTGATATTTGGTATAGAAGAATGTAAGTCATCCTGCTATAATCATCAACTAATCATAAACGTTTCCTTTTTTGTTATACATGAGAATAACGTCTAAATAGTTGAATCTTTCAGGCATTAATAATATTCAAGCCTTTCTGTATATCATTGTAGCTCTTTATTCTGTAATACGTTCATAATAATCAATTCTCATAGTTACTAAACTAATGATTTCAGAAACTGTTTACATTATTACCATTCTCTTTAATTCATGAGAGTTCTATGCATGGCATACATTCCCTTGTGTTTTTTCTTTATGTGAAACACATGAATTTTCTATCTAAATTTTTTCATTATAGTATCCACCATATGTTTTAAGAGAATTAAAATATTGGAAGTATATAAAAAAAATAAAGAAATACATTTTTAAACATTTTATTATGAAACAGTCAAGTTATTAATTCTGTACCGTGTACTTGTGATTCATTTTGAAATCATAAATATTAAATAATGTGTCGTAATTACTATTCAAATTGGAAATATCTATATCAATGTCCCAAGAAATTGACAAGGTA